TTTTTTTGGTCTTTTTGAGACAGGGTCTTCTTGTAGCCCCAGCTGTCCTGGAACTCGCTATGTAGACCAGGCTGGCCTTGAACTCACAAAGATCCACCTGCCTCTGCCTCCCAAGTGCTGGGACTAAAGGCGCGTGCCACCATGCCTGGCTTAAAAAACAAATCTTAAAGTATATAAAGAAGTATCTTAGAATTTACTTCAACTCAAAACAATATCTGCCTTTAAGTAACAGATTGGTTCACATGGAAATAGTAAAATGTTCTGTTGCTGCAAAAAGTTTAGTTAAAGATCACTGAACAGCTGTCATGGGAATTTTGGGAAATAAACGTCACACAAACAAGTCTTAAAAAACAGATGCCTATGGGAAGTACTCAGAGACTGAGATCATGTCAGGTCACAAGAGCCAGCTAGGAGTTTTTACTGGCAAAATTTAGGGACAATTTGATCATCAGAAAGAATAAATGGGGTTAGGGTGTACTCCGTGGTAATAGTGCTTGCTTAGCATGTGTGAGGCCCTGGATTCAGTTTCTAGCACACCCACACAAAAACCCACAAAAATAATGAAGGTAATAATTTAACAAGAGAAACATATGCATTCATAGTGATTTAAAAAAAAAGGCGGCTAGGCATGGTGGTATACACCTGTAATCCTGGCACTTGGGAGGTGGAGCCAGGAGGATCAGGAGTTGAAGGCCATCGTCAGCCATGTAGTGACTTCAAAACCAGCTTGGGCTGCATGAGACCCTATCTTTAAAAAGCTGGGAGGGATAAAGGAACACTCCTCTGCTATTTATAGAGTTCTATGAGCTTATAAATGTAGAAGAAATGATATACATTCTTACAATGATAGATATTATTATCTAACTCCAATGTCATAATTCTGTCACAACAAGATTATTAGTGGATACTAAAACTTCTGAAGAGAGTTACTAAGAAATAGATTTATACATTCTAATTCAAAGAAGTATACCCATACAGCAGAGATTTGGTGGTTTCTTTGTTAATACAACATCAAGGCTGGACAGCTGGACACTGTTTCTCCCAGTGTGATGCAAGGAGGAATACACCATATCACTGTGATGCATTCTGGCCTAGAGTACTTACTGTGAATGTAATAGAACCAAGACTTCATTTTGCTCCCGTCTTGCTCTCCATCTTGCTCCCAAACGATTCTAGATATAACAGTTAAATGCAATGAGTAAACTTTGATTGGATCTTAGGGTGGAGTGGGATGGGCTGTAGATGTGTAAAAGGCTGTCCGTTTGTTTGAAAACTAGTGTTTTGAAGATTTGAAGATGATGGGAGTTGTTTAATTTCCTTAGGTATGGGAATAGTGTTGTGGTTAGGTAGGAGATGCATGTTGTGTGTCGTGTTGTCAGCAAAACAAAGCATGTGTGTGCACATGATATATAGCATGTAAGGGACAGTAAGATGGCTCATTGGATAAAGGCGCTTGCCACCAAACCTGATGATCTGAGTTCAGTTCCCAGGTCTCATGTGGTAGCAGAGAACAGACTCCTGAAAGTTACCCCCTGACCTCCATGTATATTCCATGGCACAAACACCCACACACATACACACAAACATACAGACCACATATACAACACAATAAATAAATAAATAAATAAATAGTAAAACGTGGCCAAATTTTAATTCATGTTGCATATAGTTGAAGGTAAAATGGATATTTATGCTGTTCTTTCAATGTTTCTATAATGTGTGAAAATTTTTTGGTCCTTTTGAGACAGGGTCTCCCTGTAGCCCAAGCTGGCCTGGAACTCACTATGTAGATCAGGCTGGCCTTGAACTCACAGAGATCCATCTGCCTCTGCCTCCCAAGTGCTGGGACTAAAGTCTTGTGTCACACCATGCATTGGTTCATGTGAAATAGTAAACAGGCTCAGTGCTGATGTTCTAACCAGGTGGACTGAGCCCCCTTTAAAGGTGATCACTAGTCATTCCCAGGTGGGATTTCTCAACTGTGGCACTACTGACATGTTATGTCAGATAATTCTTTGTTATGTAGAGCTGGTCTGTGCATTATAGAATATTGAGCAGCATTTTCTGGCCCCTACCCATAGAGGTCAGTTGCTTCTACTGTAGCAAGAAAAAATGTTTCCAGACATTGCCAAATGTCCCTTAAGGGGGCAGAATTGCTCCCAATTGAAAACCACTTTTTAAAGGGTAGACTTACTCTTGAAAATTCACTTTTATTATATTTCATAGCTGAATCTAAATTTCTTCTTTAAACTAGTCATAGTTATTTACTTCTAGTTTAATAAAACTATTTGACTGCTTAATAAGAGAATCCATTGTTTTCTATTTCAAGATTTCCAAACCTAACCAATTCCCAAAACTATTTAGGGTGCTTTTAAAAATGTAAATTTCTAACTACTATCCCAAAAGGAGTGATTAAGATCTCTGTGATATGCTCTTGGGGTCTACATTTTTGGTAGTTTCCCAGATGGATCTGAAAATTAGCAGAGGTGCAGTCCGACAATGTGGGGTTTTGTAGGCCTCTATAGAGATTTTGTAGTCTAGTTTGAGAGAGACAAGATACCAGAAGATATTTAATGCTTTTATAAACTTTTAAAATAAAGGTTTATACACAAAAATTGCAAAGATCGTACAGAGCATTTCTGTTTACCCGTTACTGAGCTTCCCCAAATATTAACCTAAGCATGGTAGATTTGTCAAAACCAAGAAATACACATTGGTAAAATGTTGTTAACTTACAGAGTTTATTCAGATTTCACAAGTTTCAGTTCCAGCACTCAATCCAAGATCCCACATTGCTTTTACTTACTGTTTCTTTAGTCTTCTCCAATCTATGACAGTTCCTCAACCTTCTCTTGTTTTTCATAATCTGAAGCTTTGATCACTTCCAGTCACTAAGTTTTGAAGAATGTTGCTCTATTTGAGTTTGTCTGCTGTTTTCTCTGGTTAACCTAAGGGTTGTGGGATTTGAAAAGGAGGTAAGTGCCCTTCTCTTCACATTACAGAAGAGGGCATATGGTATCAACACGAGATGATATCTGCGATGTTTGTCCTTTGTACAGTTTCTGTTTCTCTTTCTGCACTCTGTTCTTTGCAAGTGAGTCATTAAGACCTGTTCATACTCAAGGAGAGGAGAATTAAGCTCCATTTCCCAAAGAGAGGAATATCCGATGTCCATATCCATTATATGGAATTCTTCTGTAAGACATTTGTTCCTTCTCTCTCATTTTTCATTCACGCATTCATTCCTATCAGCATTGGCTCATGGATGTGTATATTTCTTCTTTTGGTTACAATCTAGTGTCCATATCAAGTTGTTTAGCCATTGGGGGATCTTTTAGGTTGGCTCTTCTATTCCTTTGATAAATTCTCATTTTTTTTTTTAACACGTCTTACTTTCTGGCTTTATAAGATGCTCAGGCATGTCCCACCCTGCAGCCCATGGGTTGTATGCACCCTAGCTAGCTATGAATGTAGCCTAACACATTTGTAGATGATAACATCATGTCACAGTGTTGAAAGGTTGGACACCTCTGTGTTTAGGATCTTCCTATATTTTCCTTGCCCTAGAACTGATAGTAATTCATTTCTCCAGGGTACCATGGTTGCTTTCAATCTATAATGGTTGTA